GTGGGTTTTGCATGTTGTTTTTTTCTTTTTTTGGTTGTTTTTGTTTTAATTTTTAATTCCATTGTTACCTTCTTAGCAACTTTTCAGCAACCAAACTAATTGCTTTCATTGTGCATAAAACACAGGCTCTTTCCTACAAATTTTATTACAGAATAAAAAGATGTCCTGTCTCCTGTGGAACTTGCAATCCAAGTATGGATACTTCAGCTGAGGAGGGGGTTCAGCCCAGATGTCCCACTACAGACACAGATGGTGAGGTGCCATTCAGCTACACCCTCTTTTTAAGGGCATGCTGCAGAATTTACTGGTAACTCCTAGCCCTGGAAAACTATGAAATCCACACTTTCTGCTCTTGGGATTAGTATTAGTTGCTGTGGTCATCTGACAATTATTACTCAGTTGTAAATAGCTCTATTATGAGAGTGGAATAGCATCTGAAAAACAAGTACCAGAATTTTATTTTTTTGCTGCTCTTAATTTTTTTCATTTGCTCTGTCTCACAAAATCAGTAACAAAATTAGTGTGGTGCTTCTCAAACCCTTTGCCAGCTGTGAACAAAGAGGGTCAGGTAATTAAGTGTTTAGATTTCACTCAGTCTCAGGGAGAACTCTGCAGTTAAAGGTCCTTGGAGAATAATTAGTGACATACCAGTAATTAGGGAAATACTAACAACTAGTATGCCTTTGGAATTTTTATGTTCAAAACTTAAAAGCTTCATTGCTACAGATGAAAACTAAACTAGAAAGAAGCAGGATGAAATATTCAGTAGGTCATACATATATTTTTACTGGTTTTGAGGTTTTTGTTTGTTTGGAGTTTTTTAGCTTGTAAAAGCTAAAAACACAATAGGAAGAAGTTCATGCTTCCACTACTCTTTCTGTGCCCTGATAGGGCAGAGGAATTACTCTTGGTGGTGTGCTTACATAAAAAGGCTGTGGGCTAGGGAACAGTCCCCATTGGCAGAAACAGGCAGGAAGAACAAGTAAGGGAAGCAGAGGGATGGCTGGGTAAGTCTCTGGAAAGGATTTCAAGAGGGAAGGAAAAAAGGAAACATTAGAAGCTGTTTCTTTAAGGTATTTTTTTATATCCTATTTCACCAATACAAATACATTCAGTGTTATGAAACTACATATTTGATCTTAACCGATCTTCTTTTCTTCTTCTAGTATGTACTCTAGATTTACATATTTTAGAGAAGATTTAAGCTTGTGATACAGATCTGCCAGATATTCTTTGACTTAAACATAATTTGACTTTTTCTCATTTAAGGGAGCAATCCATCACAACAATATTTTGATATTAAGAGTGGTGACACCTGCATGTGATCTGGATATGTAGGTTTCACTTACAATCGAAGTTCTGAGACAGCTCTCCATGACCTGTTTAAGACATGTAAGCTATAAGGAAATGAAACGTGTCCTACACGTGCCTATATCTCTCCATTATTTAAAGTACATCTAGAAAAGTTCTTAATTTATAGATGCATATATGACTGAAGTCTGTGTTTGGATGAATCCAGCCCTATATATAAAGTTGTAATACAGTTGCTTGGTATTGCAGTGCACTGAAATGACAAACATGCTTTGTTTCTTCTTTCAGTGCTAAGTTGACTGTGGCAATTAGAAAGACATCCCACTTTTTCCCACAATTTCCTAGGAATTCTCAGAAGTTGGACTTCAGCTAATGCTGAACTTTAACTCTGTAAAAAACATCATTAATATAGTTCTGATCTTAAATAATGGGTCATGTGACAAGATATTTCCAAAAATTTAAATTTAACAGTCTATTAAACACAAGTTTATGGTAATTATATCATAGTTTAAAGGTTTAGTCTCATGGGAAGTTTGTTTTCTTTGTCATTCAATAGTAGCTGTTCCCATAGGGTTCTTTTGAGATTTCATTTCAATTTCAACCTTCAAAACCACTACTAAAATTTGGGCCACTGACACAGGCCAGAACTTATAACCCACACACTCATAGAATCTACAACTGTAGCTGAAGATTTACCTCTGACAGTTTCCAGTGATACATGTAGGAACCTTGTAAAGCAAGTAAACATTTTCGCTGCATTTGAAGTACACCAAAAGAATTTACACATGGAAATAAAAAACAGACACTAAGTTATTTTTCTGTACCATCCCATATCTTTCATTTTTACATGTGAACTAGTATCTGCAGTAAAGTTTGAAATATTTGAGGTTGTTCTTTGCATTTGCATTCCTATTTTTAAAAATATAAAATTCTTTTTTAAAGAAAAATTAGCACAATAAAATGTGCTTGAATTGGAAGGATCCATGAGGATGATATGTTCTCATATGTCCCATATGAATGGGACTGATGACAGTCCCCATTCAGACACCATCTTTAACCTTGCCAAGTGCCTTAGCTCCAGTCCAACAATTCCATCCTCAGTGATCTGTTTTCTGTCCCTGCCTCAGAACCCTCGTGTTGTGCAAACAATCTCAATGTAAATCCAAACCTAAGACAGGAAACTACACAACTGTGATTGAGTATGCAATTGTTCAGCAAAGGAAGCAGAACTGCCACCTCTCAAAAAAAATCCATTCGGTTACAAATAAACAACTCAGGGTATGATATTTGGAGATTCCAGTTCATGGTACATTTTTTCACACATTAGCTGAACTGTAACCTACTTGGCCAACAGTTTCTTCAGGCAGGGATTTTAATTTTTAATTAACACATTGCTCTAATAAAGTACTTGGCATTAGTTATGGCTTTTGAACTAAAATGCATTCATGACATTAAATTTTAAAACCACTAAGCCATTAATTTTGATCCCTTTTTTTTTTTTTTTCTGGTATAGTATTTGCAAGAATTGGCAACTAAGTGCATATTTCACCAGCAAAAGAATAAAGACTACTAATAAAACTTACTTTTGCCTGTCCCTGTAGAGAATGGCAATATTTTATACACCGACTGCACAGCAAATGAAAGTCAAAAACAAATTTGCTGTCTAATATAACAGTTTAATTTATGATGAAAGGCAACTTTGCACACAATTTGCTATCTAAATTTTCTTCTGAATTCAGACATAAAAAGGTTTACAGCATTGCAGAATAGTTCCATAAATTGTCTAGCTCAAGCACTGACTTTAGTACCTATTTGTAAAACCATCTTCCTACAAAATTTTCTAGGTAATAGCTACATAACTGAGCCCACTCAGCTGAGGATGCTGATCTGCAATTTATTCAGGATGCAAGTCCCTGCAGTTGCCCTACTTTACCTTACAAAAAAATTCCCCTTTTGTCTGCTTTGCTCAGACTAACATTCAAAAGCTCAAATAGTATAAATCACAGGTATTTTCTTAATATAAAATAATGACTTCAGGTACAACTACTGGCCCCACCAATCCTGTTACTAAAAGCAGTAATCACCTGCTGACTGTATGTGAGCCCAATAACAGACTTCAAACCAGTTCTCAACTTACCATGCTTCATCTCACTCATCTGGTACTTATGAAACAGTGCAGTTATGATGCTGAAGGTATAAAATAGGAACAGCCAATCTGATATCTGATTCTCATGCTTGTGTCATTCTATTGTTCAATAAACTGCAGTCAGGGGAGTAGCTCAGCTATAGTTGTACATTTTAATTGAATACAACTTGCACACTTTATACACCTCTAAGTAGTGCGTAGAATTTGCTTAGCAATAAGAAAGCAGCTCAGTAAAACAGATGTCTGCTCCTCCAGCTTCCCCACTTCTTAGTATCAGTTTTCTTTATTATTCTACATTAACATGTAGATAAATTGTGTCTAAAATTCCACCGGTGTTGCAAAATGCTGCTGTAAGGCTAAATTTTTAAGTCCAAGTAGTTTCATAATCTATATGCAGTTATTTATAAAGGTACCTAACTAAACTTCCAATAATGTCAGCAGGAATCTGATTGCAAAATAGCTCATTTTATAAACATCACTACTTTTATGAGTAACAGAAATATATACAATCAGGTGCCAGCTCTTTCACAGATACATACTGTATAACTTGGTCACAAACTGCTTGCCAGGACAAAATTTTGAAATGTTAAAGGTTTGTCCTCAACCCATAAAAACCAACACAGGTCACACAAAGATTTCATGGATGCTGCTTTTCTGCACATTCCACATTTGTGTAAGTTCAGTAGTTTCAGAGGCGTTAACTGCCAATAAATACATAAATCTACATCTAAATCAAGCCATCTCCTTTATACAATACTGGATCTGGGATTACACCTGAAACTTGTGTTGAAAACACATGTGAAGTGCAGGACATGGAAAAGATAACTGACTCTTGCCTATTGCAAACCCGCTCTGTGGTCTGCATATCACACTGCATGCAAAGCACACACTTCTCAAAGATTTGCTTTTCAAGTTGACTGCCTAGAAGTCTCTTTAAAACAGCATAGGCCATGATGTACTTATTGAGTCTGAAAAAATGACATTTCTAATTGGAAATGTTGAAGTTTAAAAAAGTATATGTGATATCTCACTAAAAGCAGAAATGAACTGTGAATTGAACCACTTGCTCATGGTAGCAGCTGCTGTATTGGAAGAAGCCATTACAGCTTTGCTCCATACAGTACAGGTTAAAACCAAGTACTCAGTGTTTCAGCCAGCTCTAGTATGACATGGACACATTTCCAATAAGCTTAAATACACTGAAAACATGGTAACTGCACAACTGCCCACACAAACAGGAGACATCCCAGTAGTTCTGTAGAGCCCACTCTCCCCACTCACCATGCTGAATTCATTCCAAAATCCAGGGTCAGTTGCTTCTAATCTTGGGATTTACAGGGGGTTGTTTTGGTGGTTTGAGTTTTTACATTTCCATTAAGATAATTTGAAAATACAGTCTCAATATAGAAGGGATGGAAGCAAACAAAAGTCAGGCCTCACAGCCCTCATAAACTTAAGACGTAGTTTTAAAAACCTCTTAAGGATATGTGACTTTGGGTTTCATTAAAAATGAAGTAAACATCAAATAAAAACCAAAACAGAATAGGTAGAACACTTTATTTTTTGTCAAACCTTAAATGAAAAGTATATTAAAAAAACATGGTTTTGAATTTTAAGAACAGGAATATAAACATGTATTTCCTATCCAAGAAAAAAATCATGCATGTGTTACAGTATTTGATCATTCTCTACATTCACTGGTATGCAACATCAACTTAATGTTATTCCATAGATACAGAGATGCTGTAAATACAGCATTTGGTACAAATACCAGGATCTTCTGGCCTCACACTATAGATGAAGCAAATCTGTTCTTTGGTAATTGGAGAAGGCTGATTTTCCATTCCAATGCAGGACTCTTAAGAGGCCATATTAGCCACTCTGCTCAGACAATTACAACTCCTGGAGACAAGTATGGGCCACTTTTGTCAAGAGAAAATAGTATCAGAGGTATAAATGCAAAGAAGTTAAAATTATTTGTTCCTTGTGGTGGCTGTTCTAGGAAAAAAAAAATTCCAACTCTCTCCTCCTCTATTCATCATTTAATCTAGGTAACATTTAGACTCATATGAAAAGGTATTTGCTAGATGGGAATGTACACATGCATGCTTTCAGTTTAAAGAAAGAGATGTGTGGTGAATGGCAATTTAAAGTTAACATAACTTGAAGGTACACCTATAATAAAGTTTAAAGATTTAGTAAACTGGGACATTACAAATAAAAAAGAGTGATAATAGATTTTCTGATCTTCCCTTTTTCAACAAAGACTGACAGAATATACATATACAGGCTGACATTTTGATTTATGGAAAACAACTTTCATTTTCCTCAGTTTGCAAGTCCTATTGACTAAAATGTAGTATCATTCACAACAAAATATTTTCAGTAAGTCAAACATTAAGCAAAGAAACCCCAAACTAAGCTGAGAAGCTAAGTGGTTTAGAAAGCCTGGAAATATCTATGTGTATGTCAGTGTGTCTATAACTTTTTTGTACACTATATCTATAGACACACCCACACATTTATTTACACGCATCCATGCATACACGCACACACACATGGGGAACCTGCCGTGGAGATCCAGCTATCATCTATTCAGGAACAAAACACATTATTTAAAAATGTGGCTGATTTAAACCAGAGAAGAAACTGCTGCTATCAAAATATACAATTTGGATTGCAGACTAGAAGGCTAACAACATTAAAAAAATAGTTTTAAGCAAAACCCCTTTGCTTCTGAATAACAACAGGTATCAACCTGCCACAGCATGAATCATCCAAGTAAGATTTTATAAAAAAGTTTAAACTGTGACCCTTCCTCATTTGTAAAGTTCTTGACATATACAGTGTGAGTTCTGGTTTCCAAAGTGGAGCCCCTTCCATTTTTTTCCATCTGTACTTCAGGAAATGAATGGCAGCTGAAGGATTCAGAATCTCAAGTGAGATTTGTGCTTTACCATATACCTGAAAAAAAATTAACAGAAGACAGCATTACTACCCTTGTGGCATTTATAGGAATTTCACTCACAGATGGAAAATGCACAGGCATTGTTAAAAGAATTCTTAGGGAATTAGAAAGATGACAAAGAGATGCAATGTGTTATGCACAGGATTTGTCCCACGAAGTAACAGCTGGCTACAGCCTTGCCTAAAAAACCCCACGTTTTCCAAGGCATTGCATGACCTCTGACATTGAAAGACTGTTGTAAAGACAGCTAGTTCATTCTGGGAGTTCAGATAGGGTCTGAACCTGGGAGATTGTTCATCTGAGACTTTTAAATAGAAAGCCATGGAAGTTTGGTGATTGGAATTATTTTGACAATTCCTACAGCATTGTTCTTTTTCATTCAATCATTTAAGCAGTTTGCTGTGAATCAACGTGAAAAAATTAAACATTCATGAAATGCATGGGCTTCTCCCCTCCCTCAATATTTCTTCAATTGCTTCATGATAATAGTTTCTTCTCTACAACGTGAACAAGGTATTGCAGTGAACTTCCCCTTCAGGAGGGTTCTGTCCCAGAGAATCAGAGTCAGAAGGTGGGGAATCATGAGACTAATAAATGATTAATGGTAACTACACTTCCTTTAAACCCACACTTTGGAGATTATTACTTACAGTCTGTAAACATATACCACTACATTTTATTAACTGTATTGTCAGAGAAAATCAAAACAAGCAGTATTTCCAAGCTAAAACATTGTCCAAATGTCTCAATTGTAAACAATTCCCTGGTTGACGGAACTTCTAATTCCCAGCAAAACTATGCAAGCATGAACATCAAGGACTTTAAGCAGGAAACTTACCTGTCCAAAGTTTCCCAGAAGCGTAGGAATACTGGCCTGTCCAAGTGTCTTTTGTGGTAGCTGAGTTCTAACACTGTTACATCCCATTTCTGTACATTGGGATCCAGGCGCACTTCATCATATTTGAGATGAAAAGCTTTAACTACAGCAAACAGGAAAGCATATGGTACAAACATGAAGACTTTAGTGGTTTTTTATTGGTTAAAGAAAATTCTCCCCCCCTCCCCCCCTTCCTTTTTCAGAATGAAGCCTGAGAGTAAAATTAACAAGCCCATAACCCAAAGAAGTCAACTACTCACTAAAGGGCACAGTTAGATATAGAGGTCAATGGCTCTCAGGCTATTCCAGGGTGAAGGGAAAGGGCAGCCTCTACTTTTAGATGCAGAGATTCCAAGGGAACAGCAGAAAAGCACTGCCAATTCAAGTACATTCTCTTTGAGAAACAAAGTTCTTTCTGAAAATCTCTGAACTGCCAATGAATTAAAAATAATAATAAAAAAGGTATTTCTGAGACCTTTGAGTAGGAAGCCTGTCTATCTCCTAAAAGAATCTGAAGAAGACTGATAATAGAATGCCAGTGTAACCCCCAAATGCTGCCTAAAGCATTCTGAGAAATCTAGTAACTGCCAATTTCCATTGATCTAGTACTCAGGTAAAAATGGCAAAATATTAACGGTAATTTTTCTCTTGGGAAATATTGCCACATATGAATTAGGTAAAGCCTAAGCATTTACACAGTGAACATTAAAACCAACATATTTAAGCCTTGTACAATTCCTATCTCGTAACCCAATCTCATGATTTTAGTATTGGAAAAGTAAAAAAAGCCATCAGTCTTGTGGAAACTTGTTATTTTTCATGATATGAGTTGTATCTGCTTCAGATACCACACTCTTAATTTTGTCTTCCACAAAATCAGTTCTCTTTTCCAGATCCATCTGGGAACTTCCTAGAAGGCTGGTATGTGAAATTAGCATTGTTTTTGCTGATAAACTAAAGAAATTATCATCTGACTGGAATCTCTGCCCAATAAATTTCCAAGCTTTGTGATTAAGAATACATATACATTATCTCTGCTATACATTGCTGCATGTATTCATATAACTTCAGAAGAAACAAAGATATACCAAGGCCATGCATTTATAGAAAAGTCCATCAACACCTGACAGTCTCTGTATTCAAGTTAAATGCTATTAAGCACAAGAGGATAGACTTCTGAGCCTGAAACAAATCACTATTAAAGCTCACTGATGTCCTGTGGGAGAAACACCTTTAAAATGGTAGTCAAAATTAAGTATTTGTTCATGAAACTGACAGCATCCAAAACTTCATTACAAACATTCACTTGTAAATGTGGAATTAGGCTGGTTTGGTACATGAATTTGAAACAGTCAGGAGGCCATGCATAAGGAAAACTAAGAAGCACACTTTCAGAGACTCAGCTAAGGAAATGTTCGGTGACAAAGCAATTGATCAAATAACACCAGTTTGGCAGGCTCTGGCTCAGATCACATTTTATTGAGGAGTTCCTTCTGGTAAGCTACCTGCTTCTTTGCCAACAGGACAGTGACAAGCCTGGAATACTTGGTAACCACAACAGACCCAGAGACATAGACATTTCTTCTTTCTAAGAAGAAATGCAAACTGCAGATGAAACAATAAACAGTTGCAAATCCCAGAAACCACATTTGTGAACACTACTGAGCACTATAAATATGGCAAAACAATAGTTTCAGATAAAAATAGATACATAAAACTGGACTGATACTGTCTGTGCTCCCTTCATTTACATGTTTTCATTTGTGGGGTGAGTAAAGTCATTAGGGAAAGTTCTAGAAATACACTTCATCAGGAAAATATTTTAAATATATCATGCTTTGAAGGAATGGAATACATTTCTAAATTGAAGCTCCATTTCAGTGTATGAATTAAGACCAGATATCCCTCTTTCACTTGAAAAACTTACGCCTTCAGCCTGAACTGTGCAGGCTGTGATTGTGATCTTTTGGCATGTAGAGACCAAGAAGGTGAAATTAAGTCAGAACAATTCCTACGACCCTCCATACATCTATATATAAAAATGATAAAATTAATAGGAAGCAGCATGTAACTGCTAGCTAGACCATCAATATTTAATTTCATTTTTCTTGGCTTTGCTTTTCACAACTGCCATTTTCTCAGTATCTTTATCTTGAAGTTCTATCTCCTTCTTCCATAAGTCTCTTTTGTTCAACTCTCCTGTGGCATAGTTTTACTTTCACAATGACTTTCAGGCTCCTTCTCTCTTTCCCTGCTCATTCTCAATCCCCCCTTTAAGTAATTCATTCTATTTTCTTGTTCACAGACCCATCCTTAGCTTTTCTGTCCCACCCTTGAGTTTTTTCCTTGCTGTTCACCAAAGCAGCAGTCTTTCCAGATTCCATGTCATATACCAAAGAGGGGGATACACAAAACCTGTTTCCTCATCACATTGAGTGCATGATGACAAAACTGAACTGAGGTGGGTTTGGGTCTGTTGCTTTTTTTTTTTTTTTTTTTTCTGTGTGTGTGTGTGTTGGTTTGGTGTTTCTTAAAACAATCTGAAACCATAGGAATCCATCAAAAGGCTTGTTTTCTAAGGCAACTCCAAACTGAAGCAGCTGAGAAGCTGATGGATGCCTTAGGTATTATGATTCACCCCTCTGTCAGAGGGGTGAACTGTGCCAGAGAAGTGCCTCAAAGCACCACAGTTGTGGTGATTCAAAAAATCTATTCAGATATATATACAATGCTAACATCTAGCTCACTTGAAACTAAACTTTTTAAAATTTAAAAGTTTTTGTCAGACACCAGAACATGTTTTCAACGCTTTCTTTGTGGCACACTAGGTGATTAATCCTCTCTTCAAAATACCACTGGAATGTGAAGACAGCCTGTGAACCTTGCTACCTATGAATTGCTGGAATACACATTGTCTGTTCACCATTTTTTTAGAAGACTGGAAAGCAGATTTGTACACTAGCTATTTGTGACTCTTGCAGCTGACACCTCTGAGAAGATTTCCATGAGCTTTCACAGATCAGAGCAGAACAACCACAAAGGGCATGGGAATATTTGCCATTGTGAGGAGACTAAAGCCCAAAGTCTTTTCAGCCACCCATGCCCAACAGCACTTTGGCAGCACTGTCATGAGCATAAACACCCTACAAGAAACCCCAAACACAACAGTGAATCCCAAACCAAGGAACAAAATAAATGCCTTACTTTTTGCAAAGATATCAACAGGAGATCCATCTGGCAGGAGCCAAGGCCAGCCCTTGAACTGCCAGGCGGGCCCTTGGACAAACACGGCCACCACACGGTCCCTGGAACACACAAGAGTGATGGACATGGGCATGGCCTGGAACATTTCAATGACCTGCTGTCCTGAACAGCCTTATTGTAGCTGCTTCTTTTATACAGCAGGATAGCACATTTAACAACCACACCTCCAGCACAATTGCTTTTCCTCTTGAAACAGAAAAAAAACCCCCAACATTCCTGTGATTCCTCTGGGCTTTCAGCCCTGTCCCTTTGCAGAAGGCAGCTCAGTTTCTCAGGTTACAATTTTATAAGTCAGGGTTTATTTGTGGTCATCATTACTTTGCTTTTGAAAAGTGCTCCAACATTTTCAGAGACAATCTTCTGCAAATGGCGCTTGAAACTGAGATGTGCAGATTTAAAAGCCTTTATTCTCAACTCTGCTGACTTTCAGGCTGAAAATTAATTAATAACTAAATTTCTGCAAAGTGAAATTTCAGATATTTCAGCTATTTTAAGAGTACACAACCATTACCTGTGGTCTAAGAAAACAAATTTGTGATTAAAATTTGCATTTGTAAAAGTCTAAAAATCCCACCTTTGAGAATAAATGACCTCCCCACATACAGTCTATCTTTCTCTTAAACATTTACATCATCCAACCACAGTTCCTACCTACCACAACAAATGATTACCTCTCTAATCTAATCCCCAAATTTAATTTATCATTAAATCCACTAAATCCCAAATGAAAAAGAATAATCAAGATGAAGTTTTGTGGCCGGGTTTTTGTTTGGGGTTTTTTTTCAGGTTTCATAATGGCTTCCTTGGGTAAAACCAAGATGAAAAAACACACACCATTTCATGTCTTCAGTCAGAAGTACTTTAGAAAGTAGTTAAGATGGTTCTTAAAGGTTTGATCATTCAACATTTTAAGTGGTATTTCATATTCAGAATTTAAATCCACTGATTTCTAATTAATTCAAGTTCTAAATACAGAGAATAACTGATTTAGGAACAGAACCTTTTTAAAGTATTCTTCTCCATTAAAATCTAATTTGGAAATTACAAAATCACCAAATAACAAATATGTCATTGTCCATGTGCCAGATCTCACTTGTGAGGAAGAAGTAGAAATGCTGCATATGCACATCATCAAATAAAAAAAAGATGTCGAACAACAATCAAAATGCTTCTCCAAAGTTTTTCTGTTCAAAGAGAGCTATTTTTTATAGCCTTGAAGAAAGGACTACAGACCAAGTAATCAATTTCCAGCTTTCTCATAAAAGTAAAAACTATCTATGATTCCCTTTCTGCAACTAGGGCTTTTCCTTCAGAAGTAAAATTCTAATAGTTCCAATACTGGAATCACAGTTCAGTCTTTACTGTCTGATGTGTTCTCTTTCTTTAACTATTTAAAAAGTTGGAATGTCAGATGCTGACGGCCTGATGGAAGAACATATCTTCCCAACAGACTGTCCCTCAGAAAGCAGACAGGAGAGGAGGGGTTTTCTTGCAGATCACAGTTCAGTGACTTGCAGGTTACACTACCACAAACTGGATCAGTAATACAAACATTTCCATTGGAATTTCTGGCAAACCCAATATTAACTGTGCTGCTCACACTGTTAAAATATAAAGTGTTGCAAGCTTTAAAGATCTTCTAGATTAATTTAGTTTCATATTATTTTCAGCTGAAGACTCCTACACAGTTAATAAAATCCCTCCTTATAACTCTATCTTCACTTTTCAGTAGATTTCAGAGCATTTTATTGTTCCCTTCCAAATTCTGCATTGTCCTGGGTAAGAAATTGTGTATAGAAGTGTTCTTACCAGTCTTGTGGCATAAGTTTCAGAGGTTGGTCTACAACTCGGTAAGGGACAGTGACGCTGACTGTGGTTCCCCCTGGCTGCATCTGGTCCTTCCTCCTCTGTATCAGAGTCTCATTCTCTCGTTGACAGCCCTGCTTCTTCTTCTCATCTGATGGTACAAACCTTAGGGAATAACAAACCCATCAGCAGACAAGGGCAATTTACTTGATGGAATCAGCAGGAAAAGGAACAGCTTCATCAGAACTTGGCATTATTGACAGCAGTCACTGAAGCCAGCTCATTCTCACAATGCCAAGTCTCCATCACTACTCGCTCAGAACACCAACACTTACAAAAAAACATAAGAATAATATTCCAGAAGCCCTCTTGATAAAAACAGTCACACTAAAAGGTCCTCTGTGCCTCAAAAATACAGCCTGACCTGTTTTTAGACATTTGGGGCCTTACACAGTACATTTGTAGATAAGGAGCCAGACCACAACCTGCGAAGTGACCACAACTCTTCTTTTTAGTGACCAAGGGTAACCTGGGCATTAAAGCAATTGCTTCCTGGAGCAAATTTTAAGAGCTCTTAGAGCCATTAGAATTATGACCAATTAGAATTTTCTCAAGAATGCTGGGATTTTTGGTCAAAAATGGTTTTGATTAAGGTTTTATTGTTTTGAAGGATGGTGATTTTACATTATCAGTGATTCATGTGATTACTATGATGCATGACACTATAGTTCTTTTGTGTTTTTTCCTAAATAGATTCTGTGATGGAATAAGTACTTGTAAAATCCAGATAATGTGGTCCTCATGTCATATATAACCTTCATATGACAAAAATAAATGCTGTGACAGCTTTCCTGACTTCAATTAATTATAGATCCTTAATCTTTCAGTCCCATCACCTTAAAAAACAAATGCAATTGCATTTCAAGACCCTCTTCTTTAAGGTAATAACACCCAGAACAGGTCTCAAAATTGGAATCATAAATGTGAGAGTAGTGTGGGCCTTTTTACTGATAAATCTCAGTGGATTTTGAGATAGATAAAAGAAAGGTAACAGAGTCATGGCTTTCACAGAACTAGAAGTGTGTCATGGAAAGGGAAGTTGATGTGACCAGCAGCACCTTCCAGGCCAGCACAAGAACAGAGTTCAGGCCTGTGTTCTCCTCATATTCTATTCAGAACCACCCAGCTGCACTACAACCCTATCTGCTGCTGACATTTAATTTCCAAAGCTTCTGATAAATATAAAACTGTTCCCCTTAACTGCAGTAGTTAGCAGGAGGATTTGTGGTACATTTTAAAAGCACAGTACATAGTTGGTAACATTTCTCTCCATTACACTGCACATGGTGCTTTTGAGCAGTTTACTACATTTTTTTGATTGCACCATTTCTATTTGTTCTCTTCAATTTATTTCTATTTGAATACTAAAAACCAAATTTGAATGTGCTCTAAGAGGCAGACTGCACTTCCTACTGTTGGATAAACAGGAAAAAAGAATGCAAGATTGAGTATGAGGAAAAGTTTATTATTCAGTCAACTTAAAAACACTAGTTTTCACTATATATCCAATGAGAAAATGGCATTTTGGGGGG